CGTGTTAAACTGTTAATAAGTAAAGCAATGGGTCTTTCACACAAAAGATCTAAAAGAAGTTGAATGGGACTTAGAAACTGTGGATGTCACCTGGCGTGAGTAATGTTCTGCATCCCTCTTCATGGCTGCCATTTCAACCCTTAACTTTTGCATTTCAGCCTATAGCAAACAAAAGGATCATGTGTAAACATAATGCTAAACAACAAATACATCAGGCCGTAAAGAATTCCGAGGTTAGTAACATACCTCCATTGAAGAAAGTTTCTCCTCGGCATCTCTTTGACCTTGCCGAGCACAGTCCACTTCGTCTTGCCATGCTTGAATCTGCATAATTAAACGTAAATTCTCTGGAATAGCCACAATCTGAATTTTGAAAAGCTGATCAAAGTTGTTTCCAGGATTTGAATATTCTTCTCACTTTTAGAATATGAATTCAAATGCCAAGGTTTTTTTAATGTGAAACTACCCACCATAAAAATCCAATAGAAGGTTTAAACTCAGATACATGAGTTATCACAGTTACCAAGAGAACGTAAATTTTTTTTTGCATATATGGTCTGTAGCTTTTACTTCTAACAGAAGTGATAAGAACTCATTATTGAAGTTAACTTCCACAATGCAGAGCATTATAACCTTAAACAACATACCTGGACCACTTGGTTTGCTTCATCTGGTGACTTCTTTTGTCCTCTGCGAGCCTGAACTTCCATATCTTGCAGCTCTTGATTCAGAGATGTACATTCGACCTGAGTATCATTTGCCAATTCTTCTAAAGAAGTTCACAGAAATGATGATGGGGAACAAATCGAGTTGAAGATAAGTTTATCTACCTCAAGCATCGCCACCTTCTGTTCAAGTTCTGCCACCTTTGCTGTCCTTTCATCAGCAATTCTCTAAAATACCAGCCATTTTAAAAGTCAGATCAAAATAGTTTTTCGGAAACGAGCACACAGAATCATTATTTTGTTTGCGAAGATGTAGCATATGAAAATATACAAAGGTTTCCTAACTTTCCTTGCCAAAGAAAGAAGAACACAATGCAAGAAGAGAAAGGAAACTAGTGATAGTACCGCTCAATCCAGGAATTCTGCCTCACCTGAATTCTAACAAGTGCTGTGGAAGCATCCACAGCCCTGTGCTCCAGTTCCCTTTCCCTTTCCATGGCAGCCTGTCTTATAAAGAGCAATTCATGTAAAAAAAAGCTGATATCATGTTTCCATTATAAACAGTTTCCACATCGTTCAGGCAACAAACCATTTTGGTGGCATTATGTGCAGAACGCTCCTCTTCGGCTCTCCTTTCAGTAGTGGCAAGCTCCTCCCGCAATGCCTGAAATGAAGAAATATCAATCCAAGCCTATGTGGACCTTATATCTTCATAATCGTAGAAAATTATTGGAAGAGATTAATGAGAAAACTATATCGTAATACCTGCATCATCCTAGTCTCAGCCAATTCTCTGTTTCGCATAATAGACTCCATGTCCGCCTGATAAAAGTAAAAAATTTTTGCTAAAATCTGGTCAGGTAAAAGAGAAAATGGCAACTGATAGGACCATTAACAACTCATGGTATGCTATGAAAGGATGCACACAAAAGAAAATCTGAGTAAATGAGAGGCCTAGAAACCTGAAGAGACGACAATTTTCCTTCGTTCAGAGCAGCCTGATTTTTCAGGGCATCCATTGCGCTGAGAAGTGCTTCTATCTCTGAGTTCTTAGCTGCTAGTGCTTCACCAATGCTTGACTCTACTTTCGTCACTTCACTTTTAGAAGCTGACAACTCTTTTTGCAACTGTGTAATGCTAGCTTCATATGACTTGGTAAGCTCTTGCTATTGCAGTAGAAATGAAGACACATAATTAGGTGCACTGGAAACCTTCAAGTATCACTTTTACTTTTTTCTTATTTGGGTCAAAACAAACTCAAGCTGTTGAAATTTACCTCGGCGGTGAGAAGCTCTTCCAACTGTGCATTTTCTGCCTTAATTTCTTGAAGACGGGATGAAAGACCAGCACAAACCTAGAAGCAAATGAATACAAAAAAGCATACATCTGAAACCGGTCACATTCAACCACTAGCATGGATTAATCCTATATGACAGAAGGAAGAGTGTTTTTATCACCCATTTGAAGCAGGAACGTAGCAAAGGATACTTGAGCTTACCCTTGCTAACCTGGCTTCTTTTGACTGCCCAGTAGAAACCGTAGCTTTAAGCAACCCCTGAGCCTAGAATTAGAGTAAAGATTGATCAACAGACTATTAAGAGGACAAACATACACACAAATTCAAGTAGCAGACATAGCATTTACTATTTTTCTTCATTTTTCTCGAGACTAACTAACCTCTTCAAGTTGATCTTGAATCTTCATGGAAGTTGTATCAGCTTTATGATTCTGCTCTCTCTCCAGATTGGCTGAGGTGTCAGAAACTCTTTGTTCCTGCCCTTTATCCAAATTGATTGAGGTGCCAACTTTCGCCTCATCGCCTGTGCTTTGAGTCACTTTCGCTTCGCCTACCGGAGAAACATGCACCACGGACTCCAGTTTCTCCAGGTCTCTTTTTGAAGAATCATCTAGCTCTCCTTGTGTGCCTTTTTGGGGAACATCAACCGGGTTTTCACTGGCAGCGACCTCAATTTCTTTATCAGTTAAAGACACTAAAGAGTCATTTGGAACATCTCCATCAGCATGTTTGCTATTTGAAGTTGAGACAGCAGCATCACCGTCCACAAGAGATTCTGGAGCTACCACAGCAGCATTGTCACTTTTTGTATCTGCCACTAATTGTGGAAGTGATTGAACACTCGGGACATCTGTATCAGTCCCTTGAATATCTCTTGTCTGTGAGACAGGACCTGATGAAGAGGCCTCGTCGGTGGAAACAGACCTTTTCGATGGAGGCACCTCAGACTGTGACACTGCTGGGCCAGAGTGATCACCAGAATCTCTTTTATTAGAAGATTCTTCTTTTACAAGTTTCTGTCGAGCCTACAAATACATTCCACAACCAAAGAAGTTCATCTTGAGTCTTGATGTACCAAACAAAGAGAAGGACTTACAGCTACGAGATCCACGGAAATACCTTTTTCCTTGAAGTTGGTCTTTTCCCTTGAGACCCTTTCTTATTAGAAGCTTTAGCCACCACCCCAAGCAAAGGAAAACATAGTATAAGAGACAGATACATGACTAAAGGAAAGCCTTGCTTAGACTAACTACAGGACAATGCAAATGTTTCTAACTAGTTAGATACAGAAACTGGTTAATCCGGTGTAAACGGTACACATTGCGTTCGACAGTTCCAACATTGAAATTGTAATCACAGATCAAGCAAAGCCAAAAGATAAAGCTTTTATACTAGAGTTAATATCGAAAGAATCTCCACAGTACCTGGCAATTGCAAATCGGATTGTTCTTCAGATAGCTCTTCAACCACAGACTTGGCCCTTCGATCCACAACCTCAAATAAATCTGAACATAACGAAACCATTAAAACCAAAAACAATCCCCAAAATTTGTCTATTCATCTCCGCATTAACCCATGAGAAACATACGATTTCTTCATCCAAGCATAGTTTTGGGTGAAATTACCTTCGGCAGCTTTGAGCCAGGACGCCATTGATGATCAAAGTAGAAAGTAGAAGAGCTTCCATGCACCACTGGGTCGGATCAGATTGAAATCAAAAGGTGGGTTTCGAGAATTTTAGGTTACGGATTCGAGTCTCATCTCTGTAACTGAGATTGTTCTCTGGGTTCTTCGTATGAGC